TGCACTTGTCCACTCTCACCTGGCTGTACCTGTCCTGCATGTACAGTGGGTACGGAAAGTATTTAGACCCCCTTAAATTTTTCACTCTTTGTTATATTGCAGCCATATGCTAAAATCATTTAAGTTCATTTTTTTCCTCATTAATGTACACACAGCACCCCATATTGACAGAAAAACACAGAATTTGACATTTTTGCAGATTTATTAAAAAAGAAAAACTGAAATATCACATGGTCATAAGTATTCAGACCCTTTGCTCAGTATTTAGTAGAAGCACCCTTTTGAGCTAATACAGCCATGAGTCTTTTTGGGAATGATGCAACAAGTTTTTCACACCTGCATTTGGGGATCCTCTGCCATTCCTCCTTGCAGATCCCCTCCAGTTCTGTCAGGTTGGATGGTCAACGTTGGTGGACAGCCATTTTCAGGTCTCTCCAGAGATGCTCAATTGGGTTTAAGTCAGGGCTCTGGCTGGGCCATTCAAGAACAGTCACAGAGTTGTTGTAAAGCCACTCCTTCGTTATTTTAGCTGTGTGCTTAGGGTCATTGTCTTGTTGGAAGGTGAACCTTCGGCCCAGTCTGAGGTCCCGAGCACTCTGGAGAAGGTTTTCGTCCAGGATATCCCTGTACTTGGCCGCATTCATCCTTCCCTCGATTGCAACCAGCCGTCCTGTCCCTGCAGCTGAAAAACACCCCCATAGCATGATGCTGCCACCACCATGCTTCACCGTTGGGACTGTATTGGACAGGTGATGAGCAGTGCCTGGTTTTCTCCACACATACCACTTAGAATTAAGGCCAAAAAGTTCTATCTTGGTCTCATCAGACCAGAGAATCTTATTTCTCACCATCTTGGAGTCCTTCAGGTGTTTTTCTCCCCCGATAGCTCAGTTTGGTCGGACGGCCAGCTCTAGGAAGGGTTCTGGTTGTCCCAAACGTCTTCCATTTAAGGATTATGGAGGCGACTGTGCTCTTAGGAACCTTAAGTGCAGCAGAAATTTTTTTGTAACCTTGGCCAGATCTGTGCCTTGCCACAATTCTGTCTGAGCTCTTCAGGCAGTTCCTTTGACCTCATGATTCTCATTTGCTCTGACATGCACTGTGAGCTGTAGGGTCTTATGTAGACAGGTGTGTGGCTTTCCTAATCACATCCAATCAGTATAATCAAACACAGTTGGACTCAAATGAAGGTGTAGAACCATCTCAGGGATGATCAGAAGAAATGCACCTAAGTTAAACATATATGTGTGTCACAGCAAAGGGTCTGAATACTTATGACCATGTGATATTTCAGTTTTTCTTTTTTAATAAATCTGCAAAAATGTCAAACATTCTGTGTTTTTCTGTCAATATGGGGTGCTGTGTGTACATTAATGAGGAAAAAAATGAACTTAAATGATTTTAGCATATGGCTGCAATATAACAAAGAGGGAAAAATTTAAGGGGGTCTGAATACTTTCTGTACCCACTGTATGTTTTCCTGGTTTAACTTGTCTCCTTCTTGCAGACTGTAAGCTGCTAACTCCACTTTCCACCACCCAGACACTATTTTTTTAAAACACCATAACAAAATCCATAACAATTTAGCTGAAAACATCAAATCATTATGCTACCAGCATTTACTCTCTAGCTGTGAAGTCTGGCTCCTGCTGGTATAAAGCTTTGGGCCATTTGGTTGACTAATGTAATGTCACGATGGCAGGACTCTAAGGGAGAAAATGACAAAGATTATGTATTGCCACATAAAGTAGGAAGGTATAATTTAGGTTCTTTCTTACGTCACCAGAATTTGTGTGGGTGCAGACAGACATCTATTCAAAGTGGAAACATTAACCACATAAAGTCACATTTGTTCAAAGCCTCTATGGGCATACACTGCTCACACCATCTGAATTGAAGGTGTTTTAATAAACTGATAAAGCATTTTAAACCCACTCTGTATATAAAATCACAAAGGGATTGGATTCCGTTTGTGTGACAATCCTGTTTAAGAGCACAACACCATTATGGCAAATTTTCTTTTCAACCAAAATCTCTTCAATAAGAAGTCAGAGTGCAGCAAACACTGCTCCATTTTTAATAAAAATCTGTTTTAATGGACCCAAGACATAATGACGTAACAGTGTTTACCGTGGTGCTTTGTGGGAGAAAGGTGGGGACGACCTAATGCATGCTCTTGCTACAAGCAGTGACAAGGAACCTTAATGTTCATCACAATGGAAAAATTATCTTTCAAATGGTTTGTATTAAATGTTGTGTGCCTTTGTGGTATCAAGCATGCGATGAACATCAGAGCCGCATTGTTTCAAGCTTCCATGAGACGGCAAGAAGCGGCGGAAATGGATAGATTCAATCAGAAATAACGCCATCAAACCATTTTAATGTCATTTTGATGTCAATTTTTCTAACATTACTGGTCAGTGTTTGTAGCCATAGCACATTGTTGTCCCCACCTTTCACCCACAAAGCACCCCAGTAAACATTGCATTATGCCATGTTTTAGGTCCACTTCAGGCTCTAGTCTGCACAGATGGAGCATTTGACATTGTCTGCGTACAGTGAACCATTAACTGCCACACATAATAAATGTTCATCTTTTTCAAAACATTGATCTGCAATTTTGTCAGAATACAGAGGCCAATCCCTTTTTGCTTTTTCACTTTACTTGCAAATTCCAATTATGCACAGAAACAGCTGCAGTTAGTCATGTCAGGTTGTGATGAATTACACACACACACACACACACACACAGCTCAGAACCTCCTAATGTGTTCATTTGGATTCTGGATTAAGGAAACTGCAGACAACAGCTCAGAAATTATCTGCAGAAATTTGACTCTTCTCATCAAGGCACAATACATCTGAACTTGTCAGCTCATGTTGTGTGTTAGAAACAAAGTGGACTTGAAGGGGTTGTTGCTTTCACTTAGCATTTGAGCTTATAGCCCCGTTTCTGAGCAGGTTGTTCAGTGCTACTTAAAGGATTTAGAGCACAGCTGTCTGCCATGTCCAGTACACACTTAGTAGGCAGTTTAAAAAGAAACACCAAGCTAAAATGACTGCAGTCCAACACTCCCTTCATGAAGGTGATCATTCAACAGTACAATCATGTTGGAGTGTGTAGTTTGTGCTGCTGTTGAGCTGCACTTCATCATGCAGACAGCCACTGGATATTTTGCCTAGCCTCAGTGACGCGTACAAAATAATGCATTGGCTTTTAACATTTCACTCAATTTAAGCATCAGGAGCCAAGCAGTACTATCTCCAGGGACAATCACACCCACACTTAAAAGGTTTTATGACTTTTTTTTCCCCAGCAGACTTGATTTGCATGACAAGAATGGGCATGTTTGGTAATGTCCTTTTTATCTTTTCCCATGGACTTATGCCATCTTTCAACCCTGTCATCACTGTGACCTGTCTACTGAAGCATAAATCCCCCAAAAATATTGTAGGCAGAAACAGTAAGAGAGTCTAGAGGCATGGGGCAATAAAATGTATTCACTGATATGAAGTTTAGGTGAAAAATCAATGAGGAAAATGTCTTCCTTCACATTCTGCTTGTTCCTCAGTAGGTTATGTGGGCCATTTCCTTATGCTGTTAAATATCCCTGCATCTCCAACCATATCTAACCAGTGATCTTTCCACCTGCGTTTCTCAAGCCCATTGATCACTGGCTGCCGTTCTCTAACTGTTGGTGCGATTCTGCCTGCCTGTCTTTGTAACCCACCTGCTCCCCATCACCACCGTACCTCCTTGATGTTCCGGCTCACTATCCAAAGTCTCCGTCGACCACCTGCTGGCTCTACTACACCACCACCAAGACTGAGGGATCTGACCCATCTCCCACCTTAATATAGGCCTATGCCAAATAAAGACAGTCTAATGGTCAAAAATCTGTGTTGCTTCACTCAAATTTTGTCATTAAATTTCAGCGGCTCTTTACTGACATACTATTTATATTTAAATCTCAGTCGAATGTGACATTTTTTCCAGTGACAAATCTCTAAACCACTAACTACAACAAATGAAAACTGTAGTACAACCACCCAACAATACAGGGTCAAAGGTCTCAAGTCCCTCCTCTGTGCTACTTCTTCACTATTCCTGTCTGCTTTTGTCCGCCAAGACCAAGGCTTAAACTCCGGTTTGTAAAGTGTTGTAATGAACATTTAACTATTTGACCAACTACTGTACAGGTCAGTTTTACTGTTGGCAAGACCTTGCATACCGACCAAGCAAGTGCATTATGTTGGTGTCAGCCACGCCTTTCCCTTTTATTTATAATGATTCCTCACATTTGACTAATTCTGTATCATATCAGTCCCGTGATAGGCTGGCGACCTGCCCAGGGTGGACCCCGCCTCTTGTCCAATGTCAGCTGGGATTGGCTCCAGCGACCCGATTCAGGAATTAACAGTATAGATAATAGATGCATCATATCACCTCAGTAAAACACCCTCTTGCACATCCTATATGGCTCAATAGCACCATATATTTATTCAGAAAGGACCGATGGAATTGAATCTCATCCAACTCAGTCACTGCATTAACACTGCCCCCCAAGCTAAACTCCATAGGGACACGACTGCCATGAGGCCGTGGCCTGACAGAAAAGCAGCTATGATGTTGGCAGAGACTTAATCACTCCACTGCCCATTTCACTATGAAGCTATACATACACACACACACACACACACACACACACACACACACACACACTTTGTGCAGGAGCAAAAGTACACACTTGTGTCCACATCTTGGATGATTCAGAAACAAAATGGGTGAAATAATAAGAAAAGTCACTAACACTAATTTGTCACCATCCCAAAAGCAAAACAGTGACAACTGTGGAAATATTTAAATATTTTAATAACTGACCTTTGCAATAATACGCAACTGTGTGAGCAATACGTTGAAGGTTTATGGGCATTTTATGTGCAACAACTGAACACAGCACAGGTGACCAAACATTTAACACATACAAATTCAATAGCCAGCTTCCCCTCCTCCAACCAAAGAGCATGATGGGAGTTTCCTGCTCACTACTGCCTTCAAACTTCAGCTCAGAGCTTCAACCCTGCTGATTCTAAATTGTATTTTCCAAAGCTAACAAAGAAAGCCTTACATTTAGCTGAATCTCATGCATTTGGGATTAAGTTGAGAGGATGCAATAAAACCACACATTTTCTGAGTGGAGGAAAATGAGAAATGTTTTTTTTCTTGACAAGAACTTCGGCTTTGTTCAAGCTATGAGATGACAATCAGCACGGAGCCGACCAGGATCACACAGGTGGCCAAGAAGAACATAAAGCAGCTAGCCAACCCCTGAGGGAAAACAGGTGTTTAACATTAGCACAAACAGTTTAAGATGCATTATAGTCTATGAAGGCTGAGAGCTTCTCAATTTCACTTAACTTTGTAGTTTTACGAATACTGTCAAGAGATCTACAGTTACATTCACTGTACACTTACTAGAAGAGTACATCATGTGTTAAAGCCAATATACAACTAGATTACTGATCTTGATTAGTGTTACCTTAACCTCTCTGAACACCAAGGATCCCCACAGTGCTGCAACCAGACCATAGCCCTATGGAGAAGAAACCAAACAAGCTGTTTGAGCACAGACAACTGACTCCAATCATTTACCATGAATCCGTTTTCACTTGACAGATTTTTAAAGGCCTTGCCAAGGAGAGTTTATCTACAAATATTACTTCACAGTGATGAGTTCTCATTTTACATTGACAATGTGTGAGTGGACTTAACTGCAACAGGGCTCACTATTTGTTCTGACATCTACAGGGAGTTCAGAGGAGGAGGAACATGGTAAAAAGTTTTTGTAAACCTTACAGTATGACAATAGGAGCAGTGGGATGACATTAGTCCTGCCCACCAGTGCCAAAATGACAATATTAGTTCATCCAACACCTAGTCTGGGGCAACATTGCTTAACTACTGGCTAAATTGCTATTTAAATCTGCCAAACTACCTGTAGATGGAAAGACCATTTACCATGCAGGTTTGTTTGCAGCTGGACACCCGAGTGTCTCTAAAGAGCTCAAGACTCTACAGGAATACAGGCACTAAATATTAATAAAACCTCTAAATAAAAAAGGCCCAAGCAAAATTATTCTGAAAATGACTAAAGTCTGAACTCTCTCTCCCTCTCAACACTGAGCAGTGCATGAAGCTTCAGTTTGAGTGTCCAAGTCCAAGAGGTTGTAAACTGATTTCCAAGCACACTCAGCTCTCAGGATGCGACACTTACTGCACTGACAACAGGAAAGGTAACAACTGCACCCAGGTAGTTATTGGCCAGGAGGCAGCAGTATGTGGCCAGTGCCCACATCAATCCAGACACTAGTCCTTGAGTGCAAAAAGAGAGGAGAGTAAAACTTGTGCTCAAGTCAAAAACAGTGCAAACACACACACCAAACAAGCAGGCAGACTTCACAGTACAGGTACCATAGGTTTTGGGCCAGAGTGGAAATATTTGTCCCTCAGCAGGTTTCCCTGAATCATATCCAACTACTCCCTGAGTGGATGTGTCTGCACATGCAGCTGCTGCTTTTTCTCCAACACAGTTTCTGTCTTGGTCAGAGGCAAACTGAAGCTACTGAGACACTCTGGTGGCTCCTAGTGCATGACATCAATCAACTGGTGGAAAACTGTGTCACAGTCAGCCCCCCCGAGCTTTTAGCTCCCCGTCTGAGCTGAACAGATCAGATGCCAATTCTGAGGCAGCAGCTTGTAGGTTAGCCACTGCTGAACATGTGATTGCTTCATTTAAAAGGAGATTCAATTCCATTCTATTTGTATAGCACCATTTCACAACAACAAGAGCAAAAAAATCAGGTACTTGACAAGGACAAAAACAATTTGGAGAAATGTAAGGAGCTGAAAGAATTTAGTCTCTTCCACATCTTTGTGCCACCAGTTTACAAAAAAAAAAAACAAAAAAAAAAACAACCTCCAAATATTTTAGAATTAAATGCTTAAAAAAAAAA